CTGTGAAGGCAAGGACCTTATAGCCACCATCTCTGCCAGTCTAGATGGTGTGAATAATTGTTTGCTTAAAAATTCCATTAAAAACGACGAAATAAAGTAAGAAGACGTGCCAGAGCCTCCAAATAAAGTTAAGGCGAGTATCCCTGGCATCACTTAATTTATTTGAAAATTATGATTTTCCAGTCTGGAAGCTAAACTTTTTGAAGTTTTGGAGAAAATTGAGTATTCTCTAGAGAGCTACCCCCCCCCCTCGAGAGCCTTTAATTAATGACCGAAACCGAAAATTTACTTTGCTTGTCAGAACTTTGGCTAGAGGCTAGTCCTATTCTGAAGCTCATTCATTGAAGGCTATTGGCTAATTTACTTAGCCAGAAGTTTGATCGAGTTTTGGACCAATCCCCCTTCACCCCTCTAGTATTTGAAGCAATTAAAGCCAAACCAGTTAGAAAGTTGTTGGCTTTTTGTTGGAAAAACAAATTAGGATTAGTCCCCCCTACTCCACCTCCTACTGTCTTGTTTACAAGTCGTTTGGCAATTATTCAATTCAATGGCAAACACCCACCTTGGTCATTTTATATAATACGGTCGCCCCCCCTAAGAACCTAACTGGGGGAAAATGCATTTAGAACTTGTCCGGAAATCGCGTAATGTTTTCAGGTGAAGGGAGTTGGGTCCTAGGTTGGTATCAGAAATCACACTGCCATGACAAGGCGCCTTAAAGTATGCTCAATTTTCTTTCCTTTCAATTTCCGACTCTGACAGACGCAGAACTAAAAACTGAGAACCCAAGAACTTGGGTATCTGGTAACTGGTAACAGGACGGAGGACGAAGGACTAAGGACAAGACAGCTGGCACAAACAACTTCCCGAATAGGGAGGTCAAAGGTCAGGGCAGGAGAATGGGGGAGAAGCCAGTCAAAGGACTCAAATGTAGACTCCTTCGTTAGCTCCTGGTGGTTCGGGGTCTAAAATATATTCATTTTAAGATCAATAATTATTTTTACAAGCGTTTCAAAGTTTAAAACTTAAATATAAACCAAAAAATTACCAAATTTCTCACAAAAACATATCTTAATTAAAGATATTTTAATAAAACTTTTAAGAAAGCTAGTAATCTTTAATTTTTTTAACCACAAAACTAGTAAATTTTTTTGTAGTATTTCTTGCTTAAAACTCACTTTCTTTGTCCCACTGTGTTGCATCACACCCAGTTTCCCCGGCTAGCTTGGGCCAGCAGCAACATTTGCCCTTTTGTCAACTGAAATAGCCAGCCATTTGTGTCTCTTATTTTTTATTTGCTGCAACTTGCTGCTAGAATGTCTCCCGGAATGATCCTAAAGAGTTGTCTGTCTTGTCTGTCCCCCAAAGGAATCATTCAGAAATGCACAGCACAAGCTCTTTCTCTTCTCGCCCGATTAATTATTCATTTGTTTTATTATTTGCTAATTAATTTGGTTCGTTTGGAGAGCCTTTCCGGTTGTCATAAATATTTTTGATGCGCTCGTTTTAATGGCCTTCTAATAAATAATGCGCCTTTCTTTCCTCACAATTAATGAGGAACTTGTTTTTAGGAGGAAAAGAGTGCTATTATGAGTATTTTTGCGTAATTGGGTATTATACATTTATTTTGGGTAATATAGTCATTAAAAATAGGTTGAATATTCTGTTATTATATTATTATTCTTTCGTCACCTTCTTAAACCTGCCTTCTATGGTGGATATGGATATTTCGTGTTTAATATTATACCTCCCTGTATTCGTTTTTATTTAATAGCTAGATTCTTATTTATTTATGATTTAAGTATGATTTTGTTAAATATATTTTGAAATTGAAATAGTTTTGAAATTGTTTATAAATTAATATCTTCAAATATTGAAAAAACCATAAATATTTAATAGAAATGTATTTAAATGTTGATATTTCTTTGGAAATATTTTGATATGATTTTTTTACTAATTAAATAGTATATTAGTAGTATATTTAGTACTATACTGTACTATTTAAGTGTTGAATATTCATACAGTAGTATATTATAAAAGTATTTAGTAACTAGTAGTATAAAATAGTATTTCTTAGTATTGAGTACTTTTATTAGTATTAATAGTTTAATATTAGTATTAGTGTTTAATATTCATAGTACTAGTACATTATACAAGTATTTTATTTTTAATTATTTACTAATTGAATAAGAAGTATAAATATTATTTTTTTATTTCTAAGTACTTTTAATAGTGGTAATTTGAGATATTTTCTTAAATCAAGTCTTTTTAGTAGCATAATATTTTAGTATTTCGTATTCATAGTAGTTATCTTATATAGTACTATAGGAAAGTAATATTAAATAATATTTATATTTCAGTATTTTTTAGTATTTTCTTATAGAAACCTCCAAAACTTCCTCAAGAGTCCTTTTTAAGAAGAAATATTAATTTTTAAAATCCAATTCCTTGCGATAGCTCCACAAATCGTCTCACCCTTTCCCCACGCCAGTCTCCGTCCCCCCGATTTCTCTCAGTGTCAGCAGTTAACTTTGGACACATCCGTCGAGAATTGTCCTCTCGCGTCCTCGCTGTCCACACGTTGACTGAAACAGGAGCTGACTCCATGGAGAGGTAGTGGGAGTCCTTGGGAGGTTAGGAGGTGTACTGTGTGTGGTGGTACGAGTGTCGGGGCCGTTGGTGTCGGGGATTGGGAATTCCATCAAAAGTTGCCTCTACTCTCGCCGGGCTTGCCACTGTCTTTTGGTCCGCTACGAGTTTCCTCCTCCTATCCACCAGGGCCATCAAAATTTGTCCGCAACTCGTAAAAGCGGCGAAATGCGAAATGAAATATGAAAATAACAGTCGCGGTGGCTCGCAGGACCAAAAGGACATGCAAAGAGAGAGAGAGGGACAGAAACAGAGCTCCTTTACGTTTACGATTGCGTTATGCAAGTTTCAGTCTAATTTGTCATGATTTCTTCGAGGATTCTGTTGCCTAATTACGGTCTCTTTATGGTCTCTTTATTTTTTTTGTGCTCTGGTCTCATAAATTATTATAACGGCACACACGTGAGGAGGGGGCAGCTCCTCCCCACTCTATTGCCAATTCAAAGTCAATTAAAGTCTCACGCAATTTGCTTGTCAAGTGGCAACAAGAAATTAAAAACTTTTCTCTAGTTTCTGCCCCCTCGAGCCGGGAGGGTGCCACGGGGGCCAGCAGCTTATTGGAGTGGAATCTGTGGGGAGTGCTAGCTTGGCTGGGAAATTATTAAAATTTTAATTACGCAACTCTATGGTGGAAAGTTGCAGACATCGTTCTGTCGTCGTTGTCGTTTTTAAGACAAAAACAGCAAAAGGTAAAGCCAAGCAGGAGGTCCCTAGTTTCGAAGTTGAAATTGAAATTTCTTGAACAAATTTAGAGATACTCTATAGATATGGAAGTCCAATATACTTTCTTTCTTTCTACTAAATATATAAATTATTTAATATAAATTACCATCTTATAGACTCTATAATACCCGATACTCTAAGTTACTTGCTAATTTTAGCTTAAAATATCAAAGAAAAATCATAATAATGATTAAAAATAATGGAAATGATCTATCTAGAAATGATCTAGCATTACAATGTAAAATATAGATCTATAATTCTATATTTTACATTGTAATGCTCTATAGGAGCTCTATAAAAATCTTAAAAAGGTTATCCTACCTTATAATATTAGATTCTTTAAAATTCTAGCTGATTTTTATACAAAAACAGTAAGAGATTCTCTATAAAAGTTATGAACACTCTATAGAACTTAAAGAACTATCTCCAGGTATCTAACTCTATCTAATTTTAAACGAAAATCTGAAAAACGATTAAGTCTTCGTCTTTCGTTTAATATTGGTTTCTATAATACTATCTACTACTTTACTATATTTACTTTACTACTTTAAGAACCCTATCTTTTGAAATATTACCATATACATACGTAGTTAATTATTTTCTTCAAAAGGATATTCCAACTTATATTTTTCATGGAAAATTTTCTCTAATGAATCTAGATTCTAAATTTCTCTAATACTCTAATACTATGAAACAATCGCTATAGGAACTCTACCTCTTAAAATATTTAAAAATCTTTAAAAAAGGATATCCCATCTAATAGACGGGGGATACTCCATCTTATGGAATACTCTGTACCTTATGTATCTATAATATTATCTACTACTCTATAAGTCCTAAGCCCTATCTCATGAACTATTTATAATATTTGAGAACATATTTCATACTAAGATCCTAAAAAGGATATTTAATCTCATAATACCCAGTACCTTAAGTTTCTAGCTAGTTCTGGTTCTATCTAGTTCTACCTAGTTTTAGTTCTGGAACTACCTCTCCAAAAACTCTATTTCGATAAAAACTTTCAAACTAAAATCTTAAAAAAGGATAACCCCTCTTGTAGACCATACAACACCCAGTACAGAGTACTGATACCTCAGATTTCTTGTTAGAAACGCTTTAAGCCGAAATGGCCCTTTGTGTGGGAGGCGGCAAAAGTTTTCGGTTTAGTCGAGTTGAGTGACGCACTGTGATGGATGTGGAAGTGGCTCGCCTGGGGGCAGGACTCTGCTGCAGGACCCGAAGGACAATTTGCCACCCTCATTGTGCTGCGGCTGCTGTTGTCGTTGCGGTTGTTCTTTGCCTTGTTTTCGGCGATGTTACGGATGATAGGTAGAGGGGAGGAGGGAGTGGTTGGGAGGAGGGTGAGGCAAGCTGGAGGATGCTGGTGGTGACGTGCTTAAATATCAAAGTATCACCCACACCCACACCCACACCCACACGGCTCCCACTTTTCTGGGTATTTTGGCCATGGCAGGTGCCGTTTTGTGTCCCTCATTCGTCCTCGTCCTCGTCCACGTTCACGTCCATGTCCTCGTCCTTTCCCGTGTGCATAGTGTATTTTTGGTGGTTAGAACAGGCCGATACGATGACTATCTTTAATCTGTCCCCCCTGGTACTTGTACTTGCAGATCGAATTGAGGCCCAAAACCGGATAAGACACGTTCCCCCAATTACCTGCCACCCAGTGACCGTATAAGCCACTTGGCCAGATCGAAGGACCTAACCCAGACCCAGACCCATCTACAAAGCCCGAAAACACGTCCAAGAGAAACTAAAGCCATGGGCAAGAAGAACTCCAAATTGAAGCAGGACACCATCGATCGCCTGACAACAGACACATATTGTAAGTTTTTTTAAATTTAATATAATAATAATTTTAATGAAGGTTGATACGGTAAAAATAGTTGTTAAATAAATAATTAAATATTTATTTTTTATTATCTAAAATAATATTTTATTAAATAAAAAAAAATTAAATCTTCAAGAAATACGCATAAACATTCTTAAATCGTGTACTTGCATCGTGTAAACCCACCCACAAGAATAGCAATGGCCGAAGCAGGGAATGGGGAAGGGAAACAATAAGAAAACACGAAACTTACATTCTCACTGTCGACTGTACCTCCAGCGAAGCCTATGCCGTTAGTTTTTTGGCTGCACCGAGGCTCCGTCGACGTCATAGGATGTCTCTCTCACACTCTCACGCGAAAATAGGGAGCACTCCCGACGGAGCACCCCCGATGCTAATAACTATATTTCTTAATTTAAAGTAAAATTCGAAATTTAAATTATTTTTTTAATGTTAAATATAGTTTTCTTCTCTGCCCAGATCCATTTAAGCCACAAAAAACTAGTCCAAAACGCGATTTTAATTTAATTTCCCGAAAAAACACTTGTTATCCCGACAATTAACATTTTCAATTAATTTCGCACTTTAATTACTTAGTTTTCGATTAAAAAACAACGATTTTAAGGAACATTTTATGGAAGCGTCTTGGATCTTGGGCGGAGATTTGGGAATAAAGGAGACGAGAGAGCGAACGCCATGGGACGCCAAAATGGAAGGAGGTGGGAAAAGGATCTTGCAAAGTGAGAGAGCGGGAAAAAGAGAGCAAGCCAGGTGAGGAGCTGATGAGAGAGTGGGTGGCGTGGAGCGAAAGAGAACCCGTAGAACAGAGAGTAAGAGGAGGCGTAGATGAGCAGGTGTATAGGGGGAGTGGGGAAGAAGTTGGGAGAGCTCAGTTACCAATGGCTACTCTCCCCAAAAGAAAAATGTAGGTTTTTCGCGACTGTACTTTGAGTACAGTTTTATCCTTACACTGAGAATTAAAATTATTAAACCAGAAATTATAAAACTGAAAAATAAATAAATACCAAAAGTAAATTTATAATAATTATCAAATTTTAAAATTAAAATATTTATTATATTAAAAAGTTATAAATATCTTTTAGCAATAATTTTTTCAAGTGCCTTTACTTAATCCTGAATTAAAGGGTAAATAATGCCGATAAACCAGACCATCTTTACTCAATTTTTTACCATTTCCTCCTCCCCCCCAAGTCCCGTCCTTTATAAATCACTGGATGGTCCGGTGGCTGCATTTGCATCCTTGAACTATCCTTTTGGATTCTCGGTCTGAAAGCCTTTTTGGCAAACCAAACGCAACGTGAGCTCAATCATATATCAGCGAGAAAGTTTTCTCTTGGAATTCCCTTTGAACTGGTTATTCATTATATTTGTTTGGGTATATTCGAGAGAAAAAATACCCTTTTTGGAAATGAATTATTTTTTTTGAAGAATTTTCTTTTCTCTTGTAAATGTCAGAAAAACTAGTTATTTTACAAAAAAAAAGTTGTTACAAAATAAATACTCAAGGAATATAAGTATCTTTAAATAATTTATGTGGCTCTGGGCTATAAAATATATGCATTTATTGTATTTCCCTCCAACTTCTAATACCAGCAAGCCAATTAAGGGGAGGGTAAGGCGTGTAAAGGCCAAAACATGAATCTCTTTATGGCATTTATGACTTTCTGGTTTTGTCAGCTCAATTAAATTTGAATTAAATTTTGAAAACAGAAATGCCACAAAAGAAAACATATTTGCGAATTGAATTATTGGCTTTTAGATCGTTTCTGCCTTTGAAAGGGTATTTTCTCTGCTTTCTATCCCTCCTCTCCCCTCAAGGCTTTTCCGGCTGTTCCATTTAATTTTTTATGTAATTTCTACTTGGACCTCTAGAGTGCAGCCATGAACAAGGTTCGTTTTTTTTCTTATAGTTGCACATGCCATAAAGCCCTCAGGGGACAACAAACGTGTATGCCTGAGTGTGTGTACCCCCTTTTTTAGCCTGCCTGCCTTGCATGGCCTGTCATGGTCTGGCTTTTTCCTGCTTCTTGACTTCGATTGCAGTTTAAGCGCCTCGGCTATTGGAGCTTTAAAAGTGTTCTTTTATTGTTTATTGCCTCGAGTGCGCCCATAAGTAGGCAATACTTTTCCAGCCCCCGATACATATCTACATATATACGTTTTTAATGTTTATACGTATACTTTTTCGAGTTTTTTTATAGACACATACACACACACATTATTGGGTAAAAAGTTTTCTTGTTGCGAGACGATTTATGTTCTTTCGATATATATATATATTTTTTTTTGGAAAATCTACTCTATGTGACGGCTCTATTAGGTCACTGATTTAACGGTGGCTCTATTTATTAACCAATATTTTAATTTCCACTGCACTCTTAGCCTCTCATAAATAGTTTAACTTAATTTCATCAAAATAAACAGCCTAATAAGATGCAAAACAATACAGCCCCGTTTTTCCAAAAAATGGATGGTTATTGCTGCAGAATTGCCAATTTCAATGATTTATTTAAAATAATAAAGAGTTTCCCATAAATTGTTTCAAATAAGGTCCGAATTTAATGGTTTTTTGATATTATTTTTTTATTAGGTAAATGTTAAAAATTTTTAAATATAAAAGTTATACAATGAAACTTGATGAAACTTAAAATAAAAAAATTAAATTAAAAAAAAAATCAGCAAAAAAGCAAGGTTTCAGTTCTGAATACCAAGAGGAGCTGAAAAGACAGACTCCATTGATTTTTGTTCATAAAAAGCAAAATAAAATAAATAAATAAGAACATCAGTTTTTTTAGAAATTAAAATGAGTAAAATGCACTTAAACGCGGCTTTCAATACCCTACGAGTGCGGAGGGTGCTACCAGTTATTTTTATGGTCGGATTACCGCAAGCTCCTATTTCTCCAAGGAAGCACCCTTTACACAAAATGAGCAAAATTAAAAAAAAAAAAACAAGATCAAGATTTGAATAAAAAAAAATTAGGAAAAAAACTGTGTTTGCTGCAGAAAGTACTTTTCAACTATGCCCACGGGTTTTATTGAAAAATAAATAAGAGTTTTATAAAAAAAAAATGTAAAATTAAACGAAAATAAGAGACCAGTCTGGATGTGTAACCACACTCCATTAGAGTCCAAAGTATTAAATTAAAAACAAAAATACAAATTAAATGAGAAAATAAGATTCAAGAAACCCAGGACTAAAGAGTTTTATTCGACGCAATCAATTTTACTTCCAAAGTCAAAACAAATATGGCCAAGGGTTTTATTGATAAATAAATAATCGTTTTATAAAAAATGTAAAATTAAATGAATTTAAGATACCACCCTGGACCTTCTTGCTCGTTCGGTTGAGAGACCAAGGTATTGAATAAAAAATAAAAATAAAAACTAAATCAGAAAAGAAGACGCAATGAACTCGTTGGAGATAATTGAGGAACCAAGGGATGTTAAAACAAAATTATTTAAAAAAAATTTAAAAAAAAGAAGCCACAAATTTACAAAACACCAGTCAAGGTACAGTCCGAAACCTCTCCCCATAGCGTTGCAATTAAGACCCTGTTAGGTGCAAGACCGTTAAACTTCTCAGAATATATAAAAGAGTATATAAAAAATAATAAAAATAAATCATAAAATCAGCTTTTGAAAAAATAAAATAGGAAACAAAAATAAAATAAAAAGCGAGAAGTCAACGGCTTGGAGGTCCGTTGACTACTGATTTGGAATGAAGGAACGTCGCCTTTTATACTCTTTTTGCAGCCTCTATCAGGGCCTACTAGTCTCGATTGGCAAGCGATAGGCAAGTATCGATTGTTCTTAGGGTTAGAACATGAAAGACTGTCATGAAAGGCAGCCCTGGAATGTGTCTCCCAAAATGTGAAAAATGAGTTAGTCCAAAAAGAATCGAAAAAATATTTTGCTCTCGGATTTGGATGCAGAACTCCGGAAAAGCACTTCGGGCTACGAATCTTTTAAAGTTTACCGCTTGAGAATCGGATGAAAATTGGCAGAGTTATGGCCTATATGTTATTCCCGGTGTTTTTGAAGGGGACCCCCTAGGAATTTTGGAAAAAAAACCGAAAAAATATAATAGTCCGGGATTTCGATGCAGAATTGCGGAGAATCAATCTACAAATCGTTTAAAGTTTACCGCTTGAGAATCGGATGAATATTGGCAGAGTTAGAGGCTTCGCAGGGGTCATACTGTCATTACCGGTGTTTTTGAAGGGGACCCCCTAGGAATTTTGGGAAAAAATTCGAAAAATTGAATAGTCCGGGATTTTGATGCAGAATTGTGGAGAATCAATCTACAAATCGTCTAAAGTTTACCGCTTGAGAATCGGATGAAAATTGGCAGAGTTTGAGCCTTCGCAGGGGTGATACTGTCATTCCCGGTGTTTTTGAAGGGGACCCCCTAGAAATTTTGGGAAAAAATCCGAAAAATTTAATAGTCCGGGATTTTGATGCAGAATTGCGGAGAATCGATGTACGAATCGTTTAAAGTTTACCGCTTGAGAATCGGATGAATATTGGCAGAGTTAGAGGCTTCGCAGGGGTCATACTGTCATTACCGGTGTTTTTGAAGGGGATCCCCTAGAAATTTTGGGAAAAAATTCGAAAAATTGAATAGTCCAGGATTTTGATGCAGAATTGTGGAGAATCAATCTACAAATCGTCTAAAGTTTACCGCTTGAGAATCGGATGAATATTGGCAGAGTTAGAGGCTTCGCAGGGGTCATTCCCGGTGTTTTTGAAGGGGACCCCCTAGGAATTTTGGAAAAAAATCCGAAAAATTTAATAGTCCGGGATTTTGATGCAGAATTGCGGAGAATCAATCTACAAATCGTCTAAAGTTTACCGCTTGAGAATCGGATGAAAATTGGCAGAGTTTGAGCCTTCGCAGGGGTGATACTGTCATTCCCGGTTGGAACATGAAAGACTGTCATGAAAGGCAGCCCTGGAATGTGTCTCCCAAAA